CGAAGGCTTTCTGAAAGTCCAGAAAGACTATGTCCACTGCTACCCCTGCATCTAAGGATTTGGTGACCTGGTCGTAGAAGGCCACTAGGTTGGTCTGACAGGACCTGCCGCTAATGAACCCGTATTGATTGCCCCTAAGCATAATCTCCCTTGATGGCCCCTCACAGATATGCACCAGAATAATTCTCTCAAAAAGCTTGCCCAGGATCGAGGTAAGATTAACTGGCCTATAGTTTCCCGGCTCCCCCTTCTTCCCCTTTTTGAAGATGGGAACCACACTGGCCTGCTTCCAGTCCTCTGGCACCACACCAGAGCACCATGAGTCCTTGTAAAGCTGTGCCAGGTACTGATTCCTTCAGTACTCTAGGGTGGAGATTGTCATATTTAAATCCTTCCAGGTATGTTATTGAATGTGATTCACTCAATCCAAGCAACTCCAAGTTTGTTTGTTTTTTAAATGCTTATCTTAGTGAAATGTTCAGGTTAGGAAAAAATTAAAAGTCAGCAGCACACAAAATTCTCTCTCTTCTAGAAAGTTTTATTTTTGGGGAAATACCCTTATACCTTATCCTCTGAATTGGGGCTGTCCAACTCTTAAGTGGCTGGGGGCTGCAGAGGTTGCTGTGCACTACAGGCTACATGCAATGCTAGTGCAATGCAGGTCCCCCACTTCTTGCTGTACTGCACAGGCCACCAATGCTCTGCCTATGTCCCCATAACCACACTGGGTGAGCCCTCAACACACCATGCAAATCCTCACCACAGCATACAGGCGCCCAGTGCATCGCTTGAGTATCTTCTGCTGTACCACATGGGTCACGGCCACAGATGTGCCACACTGACAGGTGCATGTGTGCGTGCGCAAGACAGCTGCCCCCCTGCAGTCCCTGCCACATCACCCTTGCTACACAGCAGGTAATTCCTGCTGTATTGCTGGTGCCAGAGCCATGCAGGGTCCCCCCACAGTCCTTTGGCCACAGGCTCATTCACCCCACAGGTGTGCACCTCTTCTTCATCTCCTGGGGTGGAGACAGGCAGCAGAAGTTGGAAGAGAGAGGTAGAGGTGGGGACTTCAGTGGCAGCAGCAAAAAGCAAGGAGGGGATGCCAATACTCCCCTGGAATTTTATTTGGTCTTAATTTTATCATAAGCTTTCTCTGCATCAGAAGTGTACTGCATCTGAAAGCCTGTCCAAAATCCAATAAAAGATACCACAAAAAACCCCCAAAAAAGACACCTTGCTGAAGACAATGGAGTTATTGCACAACTGACCCAAGAACACTATGAAAGGGAAAGGGATGGCCCAGTGGTTAGGAGGGAAGCCTGGGACTTGGGAGACTGTTCTCAAGGTCATTATTTGCAGCATCTGAGGTTGAAGGTGGACATTTAGTTAAATGCTTTGTAGTTCAGGCCAGTGCCTGGTTTAAAAGTAGTGCCAGGAGTTGGAAGCTCTCACCACTATTACTCATTTTAATCCATTAGTTGCAGAAAATGTCTTTTGTCATCAATGCCAGGAGGCATATTGCCACACTGACTTGAAGCAAAGCTGGCAGGATACACCAACATTAACGTTACCTAGGAGAATAAAATTCAGGATATATATATACACAACTAAAGACTCTACTATAGGAGGCTCTTGTTTTTTTTTGTTTTGTTTTTTAAAGGGTGGAGGGTAGGGGGAAAAGGTTTCTTTATAGAACTTTCTCCAAGGAAACTGCTCAGCAGTACATGCA